AGAGAGAGAGAGAGAGAGAGAGAGAGAGAGCATATAATTAGAGGAGTTACTTATTAAACAAACTTCTAGTATATATGCAAATAAATATTTAAAGGTTGTAAATGTGCAATAAATTGTAAATTCTAGTAGATTATGCAAATTTCTCAATAATTTCTTATCATCATTCCTAAAACATAATTGGATATAAAAAAATAATAATTTTGTTTCGAATATTTTTTTTCTCGGGACATGGATATATTTTCTCACTCATTCTTCTAATTTAATTTTTCTTCTTCTTAATTCAATATAATTAAATAACAAAATCAATCATTATTATACATTTTTTTCAACAATATTAAATATTTATCACTCATATATTTTTAATTACAAATCATCAAAATTCTTATGTAACTATTTCCATATCAAAGTCACCGTAATCATCACATTATATCTAATATTCATTCACGAAGTCAAAATTAACTCATTCTTCTATCCTATAATTTTTTTCCTACTCTATAACTCACTTTTTATTTTTCAAAACAATAATTTATTTAAAAAATAAAAAACTCAAGAAGAGTAAACTCGAGGTGCCAAAAGACATCACTGAAACTAGAACAAAGTCTATACCAAATTCCTTTTGAATACATAGGCGACCACGGGGTACAAGCACCCGAAAAACAAAAGAACTAAAAAATGAGACAAAAACCTTCATAAATGAGACTAAGGGTGTGGTGGGTATCAAAATCAACAATAATAAATTCATGCTTCTAAATAATTGTAGTAGTGGTAAGCATGGTGGTATACACTGGGATTGACATGACTGAGTATTGATGCAACTATTCGTGAAAGAAATAAAAATAAAATTGATGGGAGGTTTTGATGATTTTACCTGACTAAGAAAACTAAAACAAAATAAAATCTAACTAGAGTCGAAAACAAAATGAGTGATTCAAAATAGAAAAAATATCCAACCAAAGAAAACTCTGAGAGATGGTTCAACGATTTGATCACGGATGCAAAATAAATCTCCTATTCTCGATTAAACTTGTTATTCTTATTGGTACGACCTTCCAACCTATCCTTCTTTACTTTCTGATAATCAGCATACGATCTTTAATTATTTCTCTAATCAATAGACAACCCTAGATAAGATCATAGGATTTAATCTATCAATAGGAACGAAATGAAAGACCGCAAATTATAGCATGTAGGATCATTTAGACTAGATCATATATCTCCATAAACATAAAATTGAAAACCTTTAATAATCAACTATGTTCTTTGCCACCAATATTAGAACAATCAAACAATTACGGATTTAATGTCCTAAATGACAATATCGATCTCGATAATTGAACAAAGAGTTCTTTTTGCATCAATCAACCAAAATAACAACTGATAATAAACACAAGAGATATACGAATAAAAGAGAATATGGAATAGAAAATTCAAATAGATCTCACAAATCATGACAAACCAAATCAAGAATAATTCTTTGGCTGGAAAAATAATTTGTAACACTCTGCCTAGACTTACTAAAATCAAAGTAAATTTTCTGTGTTATAATTGGAATAACAATGATTTAATTTTTAAAAACTCAATTTAACTTTTTCGAAAATACTTTAATCTAACTGAGTGATGCTACTCAATTAAACTAAATTCTCATTTCTATTCTCACTTACTATTATGCATGCAACCAAGATATAATTCATTAATCTAATAAGGCGCCATGAAAATCTAAAGGATTTTAGGCATACATAAACTTAAATCTGAATACTAACTAGTATTCTGAGTACTGAATACTGAGTCCAGAAGCAAATGCAAGCATGCATCAACAAAACTTAATCACTCAAACATGTTCAAAGATACATTACATGTTCACTCAAAAATAGCCTCGCTACGACCACCACCACATCATCGGCTCACGCTCCATGCTAGACACCATCACTTGAAAAATGGTTAGTGGGGGGCATGCGCATAAATAAATCAACGATGCTCCGTCGGAACTGATACTCTGTCGTTTTCTCTCTCGGATACATCACTGACTTGAGCGTCGGAGTGTGGTCTACTCCCGACGTGTTTGCAGGTACCGATGATCAAAGAGGCTCAACCCGGTTCGAGAGGAGCAGTCGAGCGATTCGAGGATTTGTGGTATAACACAAAGATTGTTTAATCTCATTACCTGCTGGTTATGTTGTATCATCCAGCATTAAAACCTGGGGAGGTGGCAAATGGTGATTAGTTGTTATGTCTGGGACAGAGGCCAACATTGAACTGTAGCTGGAAGCCTCCCACATCAGCTTGAGATTGGCCTCTTCTTCCACACTAGGGGACTCTACCACCACAATGTTTATCTGCTCAGAATCTGGAGTTTGAACAGGCTTTTTCTAGCCCTTACTTGAAGATGCTTCAACTCTCTTTGTTATCCCTCTTCCTTAAGAATTGGTTGCAACTCTATGCTCATCATTATTGTTAGGAATTGGAGAAGTATTGGTCTCAGGCTGAGAAGAGGAATTGCTGGAATAATGGACTCTGGAGTTGCTTTCTCCCTCAATAACCTTCATCCATTCTCCATATAGCCCTTCTTTAGTTCTTTTTAGTTCTATATCTTCACCTCTTTTACTGCAGGCCCTATCTATATGCCCTAGCCTTCCACAATAGTGATACAGATTGACAAGCCTCTCATAATAGAAGCTAATCAGTACCTGCTGATCATTCAACTTCATATTGATGCATATAGGAAGCGATTCCTCTATATTGATAACCACCAGTAATCTAAAAAAGCTTCCACTTCGTCTACCTGCTTTAACAATGCGAGGGGTGTTGGCCAATCTTTCCTTATTGGCTAAACCCGTACAGGGCGAGGAGTTGGTGCTATACATTTCTATTGGAGAGAGGGTTGTGAGTTCGGTGTTATTGCGGGAGGAAGGGGTAGCGCAATTTCCTATCTATTACGTGAGTAGGGTGATGCAGGGGGCAGAGATGAGGTATTCGGAGATCGAGAAGTGTGCTTTGGCTGTGGTAGTAACTGCTCGAAAGTTGAGACCTTATTTCTTGAACCATAAGGTGAAGGTGCGAACAAACATGCCGCTGGGAGAAGCACTTGGCCGACCATCAGTCTCTGGTCGATTGGTGAAATGGGCAGTCGAGTTGA